CCCCCCCCCCACTGGTGCTGGGGGTTTCTGGCTCCCTCTCCCTTCCTTCTCTGGCTTCTGCCCTTGCCCCTGCTCCTGAGAGTGGGGCAGTGTTTAAAGGGAACTCATTCAGCAGGAGAGACCAGGGAATCCATGCAGCCTATGTAGCAAGAGGCAGGAGTGGGGACATATGATGTGATCCCCGACCACTCACAAGATGTGGTTGTTTTGTAAATATATCACCTAAATATATCAAGCTAAAAGACAAAATTGGCATAATTGTAAATGCATGTAAACTGCCAGGACCAGTCTTGCAATAGTAATGGGGATACACAAGAACCCAGCTAATTTCAAGATGGATATAAATCGATTTATAAATGGGATCATGTGACATGGTTACCCGTGATAGCAGGCACTGCAGGCATTATCCAACAGGTTGCCTCCAGTCCTCAGTTTGAAATGTTTGGTTTCAGTAAATCTCTATATTCTGATGAAAATCTGTTCTGCTTGAAAATTCCTGAGCAGTTCATTGAAGTCAGTGTACTTAAACATATGCTTATGTGCTCACCTGCCAATCAGTGCATATGGGTACATAATCTTTACTTAAATTCCCATTGTAGTCTCAGGAATTTCCTTATGTAAGGACCACAAACATGGTATCCCTAGAAGTATATTTTCTTATGTGTATATACAGCTTTTTCCGCTTATCACTAATAGCTGATCATCCAAGAAATAGAAATTAAATACATGTCCATCAGACTTTTATATTCGTTTGAGGATTTTGATGTTGTACTATTATCTTAAATTTAATATTACAGTAATTTTGTCTAAATTTTGACGTGTCTAGAACATGGCAGTTATGTTAGAAACCTATATAGAATATATATAGTTTTTAATTATTTAAAGATACTTCTGAACTATGCTTTTGAAGCCTGAAAATGCAATTCCTTTTTTGGCAATCTACAGTAATCTGAATTTTTTAAAAGTTGATGGAATGTGTATTCCAGCCGTTAACTAAACTGAGGAATGTGTGTATCTACAGTTTTCTGGATAGTTAATAAAAACGATGTAATGTTTGTTATAGAATTTGTAGCTTTAACATACCAGCTACTGCTACGTTGTTTGAAATAGGATACTTCTTACAAGAATTCTCTATGCTACTATTAGTTTTTAATTGTTAACTATTTTTGTTTGTTATAATAACCACTTATGGGGTAAGAGTAAAAAAAAAAAATGTCTGTAATAATGGTTTAAACTAAAACATTAGAAACTGCAAAGGAGAACCTTTTAAGAACCCAAAATTAAGCACTGGTTTGTAATAATTTCATAGGAAATGTGTTTTAGTAATTAACAGCCACGTTTACCAGGAAAATGACAGTGGTTTTTTTTTATAACATTTCCCAGCTTTTTTTATGATCTGTACAGTACGATCCTCCTGCCCCCTTTTCGTGCCTCATCAATTTATTCTTTGTGAACAGCCGTTTGACATTTCCTTTCCACATACCCTATGGATTTAGCTAGTCAAAATCAAAACAAGACTAATCTAAGCCTGTCCTACAATTTAACTCTTTGGAAGCTTGTATCTGAAACTATAGCTTTCTGAGTGTAAAAAGGTACAGTGTAATATCCACTATGTTGAGTGTGTTTGGTTTCTGTTTTTTAGCATGGAGTGCTGACAAGTAATTTTTTAACAGATGTGAGAGAGAATATAGTTTTCAGTAGAATAGCAGGCAAACTTTCAATTAATTTATCTAACTTTCAAAAAACTTTTTAGCAAGTTTAGTTACTGAACTTAAACAAAAATGTCTTTCAGCTTACAGAGCACAGAGAGATCCGAAATACCTATGGTCTAGATACTCTTTGCCATTGTCCATTATATGAAGAAGCCATGCATTTAGCAGAGGAGGGCAAAATATATTCCAGAGTATTAAGGTATTGTTTTATATCTACTTGCTAGTTTCCAAAAGTAGCAAAAAATAAAGAGAACTATTCTATATGAAAATGCATTAAAATGATCAGTAGTGGATAATCTTCTAGGTTCTGTTTGAATTCTGTTATATGTAGTCCTTTAAGTAGCCTTTAAAACTTGTTTCCATTTTATGTAGGACTGAAATGTTTGAATGTCTGGGAGACAGTGACTTTCTTGCTAAGCTTCACTGTATTCGACAGGCTTTTCAGGTAAATGCTTAGCTATCACTGTTGTTTGTGCATATTAGCACACGTGCATTCTCTGTCTCCCTTTCACAAGTGCAATGCTGTATAACTTCAGAAGGAGCAGAGCTAGGCCAAAGCTAATTGACTCTGAAAATCTCATTCTACTTATTCAGTGGCTCATAATTTGTACTGTACTACTTATAAATGGTCATTCTAAAATGATGATAGAGATTGCAGCATATAAGTTCTGCTCAACTTGCAGAGATTTTTTTCATCACTTTTAAAGCATTTTGACTTGTATCTATATCACATATGTATTCTTGTTACAGTCAAGCTTCTACAACTTATTGGAGCATGCTTAAATATCTGTCTTAATCAGGGCCAATAAATGTTGATGAACAAAGCTGAAGGATAAAAGAAAAGATCTGATTGATAGTGATATGCACTGTTGCATGGAAGACCTACTTTTATTAGTAACCTGGGGACTTTGCTTCAGAAGTTGGTTGGAAGCACTGGGTATTTGCATGGTGTGTTAATATTATCAAGCATCACTTATTTGATGGATTTGATTAAAATAACTATCCTTATTTGGTGCATTTCTTTTTCTTTTTTATTTAATTATGGATTTATATATCTACCATCTGGAATATTTTCCAGGTAATACTTTCAGAGACAGCCAACAGAATATTTCTTGCTGAAAGTGGAAGAAAAATTTTGTCTGCGTTAATTGTGAGAGCGCGAAAGGTAAAAATCCTTTATATTAGTCTTGTTTACTTCAACCAGAGATCAAAGTTCATTTTCCAAAGTTATTTATGATAATTCCAGAGCAAGTAAAAGAAAAAAAAAGTTGTCATTTTAAGTGTTTAAAATTAAGTAATGTTTTAATTGCCATTTACTGGTTTTACTTCCAGAATCCAAAAAAATTTGAAGATGTTTTTGATGAAATGATATATTTTTTAGAGCAAACTGACCATTGGGATAATACTGAAATGGAACTTGCTGCTAGAGGGGTGAGTCTGGATTTCTACAATGCTTTTTTTTTATCATTAAACCTAATTATGCAGTCTGTTTTTCCCCTTGAAACTACTGTTTAGTAATTCAAATTTTTGGAATATTGTGAAGGATATTATGAACCATGTTCCTTGTATGGTTTATGTTCTTTACAGAAACATGAATCCCTTATTGCAACTTCAAAAGCACAGCTTGTGCTACTAGTGAAATACCTTTAAATGAGAAACTATGATAAATCTGAATGTTTTATATATGGAATTGGAACACTATGCTGTACAATTATTTAGATCTTGTTCTAATTTAATGCAGGTGAAAAATGTAAATTTTTATGATGTTGTTCTGGATTTTATACTCATGGATTCTTTTGAAGATTTAGAGAATCCACCTATAGCTATACAGAATGTGGTGAACAACCGCTGGCTAAATTCTTCCTTTAAAGAAACTGTAAGTAATTTTCTATATTTTTTCATATACCTTGATTCTCAATCATGGCAGATCGAAGTCATAATAACATGACAGTGTCAGCATTCTTTTTAAACATGATGAAAACATAGATTAGAGAATAAATACTTTACACTCAAAAATGAAGCTGCCAGTACTAATGAGACTAGAAATCATCTTTTTATCTATTGGTTACACGTTATGCAAATAACCACAATGCAAGATTCCTCATGTTGTCTTGCCAGTAGCATCAACTCAGATTTAGAGAAACCACACTACCTCTTCATGTAAAAGGTAATGCATCTTCCCACAAAACTCATTTCTAAAATATTCCTGAGCAAAAATGACTACTTTGGATATTATCTTTTCAAAATCATAATTTAAAATTTGTTAGATGAGACACGAAACCTACTTGCTAACTCTTTCCTAGGATGATTCTTTATAATGGAGAAAACTGCTTTGCTTGTCCTGCAAAGATAACTATTTGTCATGGACAGGGAGAATGTTGCAGGCTGGTTTAGGTTAGCCATCTTTGAGAGCTGATGTATAGAATTATGGGAGAACATATTAGTTCGTGCCACAAAATGTTAGTAACAAGATCTGAAAAGTGGCTGGAATTGCAAGAAAACATACAGGCATTTAAACATGCCTAACATGTTCAGAAACACCCTTCAATTTTTCCATAGAAGTTTCAGCCTGTTTTGCTTGTTAGGCTGTGCCGTGGCCAGCTGATCATTTGTAGACATGATGCTGTACCATATTCATTTGTAACTATAAACTTCAGTTGAAATATTTCCTCTGTGGAAAAAGGCAAAGTGCATACATTTATTTCTGTAGTAAAGTTCTGTTTTTGTGAGTCATAAATTACCTCCTGGTATCGAGGTAGCATCACATTCCATGAGACTTCTGTTCCATGCCACTGAGAGAGAGAAGCCTAGATTTGTCAGCATATTGTATTGTTCAAATCCATATTTGGACAAAATGGCTCAGCTGTATCTAGAACTATTTCAAGTATGTTTTTCTTAAAGTGAAAGGACATTACAATGTGTTCATTTGTTACATTTTTTAAAAGCTGAAATAGTTACAGTTTTTGGAGCCATACCCGTTTTGGCATGCAATACCTTGTGCATCTGTTAAGTTGAATAAGCCTTTCTAATGCTAAATTGTGAAAAATACATAAGAGGCTTAGTAATTCAAATACAATTTGGCACCACAGCAAAATGTGGCAGAAATTGGCAAAGAATATATGTTTTAATTTTTTAAAATTCAAAATGACAAGTAATATGAACTAATACAAGCCAGTTATTCACAACAGGAAACATGTTATGGTTTTTAACTTTTATTTCCCACCCATGAAACTGAGAAATGGAAATACAAAACTTCAAATATCATATCTCAGACTGATACAGTATTTGAAGTGCTTCAGCAGCAAACTCTTTGCCATGTCCTCTGGCTGGAGAACTTCAAACTCACTTCAGGGGACCAGGGGTTGCAGAGAGGAGCTTCAGGTCACAAGAGCCCCCAGGAGAGCAGAGGGTACAGATTACAGCCACAGTTTGCAAAAGCTCCTATGGGCTGGGAGCAAAGCCCCAGATTGCAGCAAACATGGGAGACCAGGGCCTGCAGTGGTAACTAACTGCAAGCAGAGTCAGTTGTTAGTAGATCTCTCCTTTGCACTCCACCTTTATTCTCCTGGAGCACTCTCCTGCTGCTAGAATCAAGAAAAAACTTGTGTGGGAAGAGGAGGCTTTAGTTCTGGTCCCCCTCCCTGCCCATAGGGACAGGGGAGTGCAGAGCACTGTGAGATGCTGGAGGACCGAGCCCTCCCATGTTGCCCTCCATAGAGAGTGCACACTTTTTAAATAGTATTGTTTTCTTCATGGTTATTTTTGTAGCACTTCCACCATTTTTTGAACACTCCGAAGGCATTTGAAGAACTCTAAGTGTTACATCTGTCAACATCCTTGTACATTATTTGTTTTCAAATGGAAAATCAGTTCTTATGTAGAAATTACTTAAAAATGTATTTTTATATTTAGGCAGTGGCTTCAAGCTGTTGGTCAGTATTGAAGCAAAAACGTCAGCAAATGAATGTAAGTTTTCTTGCAGACTAAAATCCTGCTTTATTTTGTAATTCAGATATTCTCACTATTTTTCAATGCTCAGCTTCTGGCCTGTTATGAAACTGAAGTCCTGTTTTGTAACAATGTATAATCAAATTGCAGCTTCCCTGATCCTATAGACACTTGTGCTTATTTGTGAATAGACTATAACCATGTTAATTAATATAGGCTCATACAAGTTAAAAGCAACTTATGCAAGTACTTATACATGTGCTTAGGTGTTTGTAAAACTGAGGATTTAAGACATGCTTACAAGAAGGCAGAGAGTTTCAGTATAGGGTACAGAATTGAAAGGCAGCATACCTGGTTCTTGTCTTCTCCAGGCACTTGTGTAGTCCCAGTTACTGGTTTCTCCAATTTGTCTGTAATTCAAACTTGCCATGCTGAAGCTCTCACAGATGTTACGTTTGTCTCATGCTATGTGTGAGTTTTCAAAGGCAAAATGTAATATGCCAGACATTAAAGGAATTTGTCTCTAGATAAAAATGGCCAACCCTCCACAAAAATGGAAGATCTATGACAAAGTGGTTATTTCAGACAGCAACTTCTTTATCTTGCTGGGACATATTTAACATCGGGCCAAATCTTAAACCTTCTACTATGCCTCAGTGTTCTGCTCTCCTTTCCGACCTTCAACAGGGGGCGAGGAAGCAAGAGTAGCTGCCTTTCTGACATCCTGACCAGCAGTGAGCTGTCCCTATTGCTACCTGGCTAGGCAAAAAAAACTGGCCTTCCCTGCTTTTGGGCAGCCTGTGAACTGTGAAAGGGTTCTGGGCTGGCCACGTGTCCTTTAAAGTTCCGGGGAGGCTGGTAGCCTGGGATGTGGGAACATGGGAATGCCTGCCAGCAGCATCCTCAGATCCCAGACTGCTGGCCCACCTGAAACCCTGCAGTCCCCTGCTCTTCCTCCTTCCTTCCATGCAGGCAACAGGCAGCCAGATCCTGATGTTTGTCACTGGGCTCAAGCTGTATGCTGTTCACACATTTAAAGGCCTGAAAGGCAGTCAGAGCATGGCAGTGTTTGGGCTGCAGCTGCTTGTCACCTGGCCTTCATTGCCATGATGGCAACAATTAATGGAGGAAGCCTGTTACTGAGCCTTCCAGTGTACTGGCATGCTGGGGTGGGAGGAACGAAGGAGCATCTTCCTATCACCCTTAGGCTAGAGAGCATGCAGCTGTGGCAACTTTGCCATGCTGCAGCCAGAGGAGTTGAACGTGTAGCTACACATAGTCCTTTGTAGTACTACAAACTTTGCAGTACTACCACACTGCTCCACATATGCTGATTCCTGAACTGGAAGCAGCATAGCCACATTTAGCATGCCACTGCACTAACCATGACTACAGTTCTGATTTGGGAGGTAGTATGTGTGGAGCAGTGTGTCACGTTTGAGTGGTCAGAGTGGATGATCTAATGGCCCCTTCTCATTTTAAAACATAAAACTCTATTAATAACAGTGTCACACCACAGACATTCCTTGAAAATGTTTGTATTATAAAATACCATTAAAGTTAATAATTCTTTTAAACAGTCCGTCCATGTACTTGATACAGTTGTAACACAATTTAAACAAGTAGTTTGGCTAGCTACCAGAGACCTACATAAAGCCTTAATTTGATATAGCAGAGATTTATACCAAACAGTTTAATTTTCTTTTCTGCTTCTTACATCAATAGGTACCTGATGGGTTTTTTGCACACTTCTATGCCATTTGTGAGCATATCAGCCCTGTTTTGGCATGGGGATTTCTGGGCCCGAGAAACTCTCTATATGATTTATGCTGCTTCTTTAAGGTATACAATTGTTTTGTAATCATTTATCAAACATAAGAAAACCACCCATTAGATTAGCAGGTGGGAGGTTCTTACTTAAAGGGACACCACTAAAATAGTATTTTTTTTAAAATTGCAATTTGGGATAAAAATAGGCCAAATGTTTATGGTAATGATTTTCAGCAGAATTTTGACATAGATTAATTTAATCTTGTGTCATAAATTAAAAAGGATTGATTTGTCCATGTACTGAAGAAATAGTCTGTACCTGTGTTGCTAAGTACACTGTAAATAAGGGGTGGGCAGTTCTTTAGGTCAAAAGGGCCACTTAGGGAGTTTTGGTGAGCTGTTGCAGGCTGGGTCAACACGTTCCCCATCCTCCCCCCCAGCTCGCAACAGCTCACCAAAAGACCCTAAGTGGCTCTGCCCTGGGGCACAGCCCCACGCTATCACCACCCAGCAATCCCGCCCTGTCCTAGGGTCTCTGTGCAGACAGGCCTGGTGCAGGCAGACAGGGAGCAGCATCCAGGGATCAGGGTTGGGGCCAGAATTGCAGGGTGGTGACAGTGCAGGGCCGGGCCCAGGGCAGGCCTGCAATCTACTTCCAACACGCCCCTGCCCTTGAAACTGGCATCTGTTGCAGGGACATGGCTCTGCCCTGGCCCTGGCTCCAGCCCCATGCTGTCACCACTCTGTGATCCTGGCCCCACCCGACCATTCTGCTCCTGGACATCACTCCCTACCCGCCTGCAGCCCCATCCATGGAGACCCTGCCCACCTGCTCCATTTGGCACCCCCGGCAGTGGGTGCAGGGCAGATGAGCTGGGGTACCCAGGCAGTGGGGCTGCTGCTAGCAGGGTTGATGTGGCATTCAGCTGCTGCACTGGCCCAGCCCCACGGTGTGCCCAGGAACAGTGGAACCAGCTGCATGTATGATGGTCCCCCCCCACCCCCGGGCCTAGGCCTGGTGGGGCTGAGGGACTTGCTGCAGGCCAGATACAGTCCCTTGGTGGGCCAGATTTTTCCTGCCCCTTTTATAAACAGTTAAAACTAAAAAATCCGAAAACATAGGCTTCAGTCCTACAAAACACTTACAGATCTGTATAACTTTACCCATGGGTAGCCTCATTGTGGTCAGAATACTACTCGTGTATCTAAGTGTGTGCAGCATTAAGACCATAACTGGCAATTCACCTTTAATTTTTTTTTCTTTTTTTATCATCTCACTGTGGAAATAGATGGCTCAGGGTTTTTTTGGTTTTTTTAATGTTTCCTTTCTGGTTCTTATACACTGAGTATATTCACTTTTTTTCCAAGACTGCAGATAAATGTTAGTTTATTAAGAAAAATACTTCAATTTGTTAAGTAGGTTTTGAGCCAAGAATTTTTTGCATAAGGTTTATTTTTAATGCTTTTCTAAATAGTCAAGAGAATTAGTGAGCGAATGTCTGTAGATACCACTGGAAATTACTTTCTGAAAAAAATTGTTAGAACATTTTGTATGTGATTGGGAAAGATAATAACGAAGGAAAAAATATGTAACATTGTATGATTGATTTTTAACATATAGATATGTTGTTCATAAAAGTAAATGCACAGTTTTAATGTTTTTTGTTCACTAGGATCAAGTACTTTTCTTCCTCAAAGACATTTTTGACTTTGAAAAAGTGAGATATTCAACTATGGAAAGTTTAGCTGAAGATCTTATGCAATTACTAATCCGACGCACTGAACTTTTAATGGCCTACCTTGGAGCGGATTCACTGAGACATGTCAGTGGCTGTGTAAGTGGTCATGGGCATGTCGTGGCCACTGGGCTTTTGGAAGCAAAAGTACAATAAGCTTAAAGATGACCACACACAATCACATGCACCTTGATTTCCCCCTCACGCAGGGCTATCATTGCTGTTATTGAGCAAGTATCTGAAATTTACCATGTCACTAAATACAGAATGGACTCAGGGAGGTTTAAAAGAAAAACATCTAGGGAAAGAACTGGTAAACATATTACTGTACATATTAAATAAAAAAGATACAGCTCAGCTGTTACTGTATTTACATGTAATGTATCCAAAAGCTTTTTTCTGCAATACTTGGATAAAATTTATGAAATACTGTGCGTTTGCCACAGATTATTTCTGAGTGAAGCTAGTGTATGGTAAGTGGAGTTGTCTCATTGTATGAAACTGTCAGAACAAAGTCTCAAAAGCTCTACCATGTGTGTTTCTATCTAGAAAGTGTTTCAGACAAGGTGTACACCACCTCCAATTTATGTGACAGATGCAATAAAATGATTATACATGCAGGGACATGTTTAACTTTCCCTGAATTGCATTTGTGCGGGTGTAGGTTGTCATTTTATACTGAAGCATAATGGAGTGATGCAGTAAATGCAGTCACCATTTGGGCAGTAATGACTTCCAGTATGCATTGTTCATGTAACTTTTCATTGTGTAATTTAAGTGAAAAATGTAAATGCAGATTGGCGTTGTCTTAATGGATGTAAAGAAATCATTACTGAGATTTATATTTGAAATCACTATTGTGAGATCACTGTTTACTGTATCTAAAAGAAATTACACTTTAATGGATCAGCACATTGGTTTAAAAATCATCCTTCTAGAGCTCATAAAACTTTATATCAGGGGTGTCAAAGATCCAGCCTGTGAACTGGATCTGGTCTGCAGAGCCTTATAATCTGGCCCCTGGTGTTGCCCCTGGGTCTTGGATTGGACCAGCATACTGCTGTGGTGCACACTGGACCAGCCCCCCATGCTGCTTGGGAAGCATGGGGCTGGTGTGGTGCGTGTTGTGGGTGATGCGTGGAGCCAGTCCAGAGTGCATGTTGCTGCACTCTGGTCTGGTCCAGAGTATATGCTGCTATTGCTCTCAGGGCTAGTCCAGGTCACAGGCTTCTGGCTACACTTCAGGCTGGTTTGGGTCACAAGCTGCTGTTGAACTCCAGGCCAATCTGGATCACAGGCTACCTGCGGCACTGCACCCAACCTTTCCCATGTGCTGAATCCAGCATGCGGGGCCAGTCTTCAGGGTGGATCCAGCCGAAGTACCCACCCAGGGCTACTCAGCCAGCCCACAAGGCCTAATGAGTTTGACACCCCTGCTTTATATGATAGTTTTTGGATAATTATTGTCATTCTTGGTTTAAATGTAGTATTTTGACTAAGGATAGATGATCAAACTTATTAATCATGAAACAGTATTGAAAAAAATGTTGCTTTATCTTTAAAATCTTTCTCAATCTCTACTCGCCCCCAAAAAACAGTAAATATTTGAGCTTTGGCAAATGACTTACTGTCTGCGTATGCATACAGAACTGGTGCTCGCTCTAGAGAAACTTTTAGTTGTTGTTTTGAATCTTCAGATATAGTTTTGGAGGAAAAATATGTTTTCTGGATATTTCAGAACATCTTTTGCATAGAATTTTAAAGGAATTAGTGATTATCCAGCATCTGAAGATCACAGAACCTAGAATAAATTTATCTTTTGAAATAGCTTTCTACATTTCTTAAGTCCTAGGTTCTGACATTTACAGCTTCAAGGCTGAAAATGTGGCAGGTGTAATATTGCACTGTGAGCAGAGCTTAGTACAATTATTTCAGCAAATCTATTACTTAACAAAAATGCAGTTTCAAAGCAGCCAGTACTATTCAGATTAGGTCAATTTGGCAAAGCGGTTTTGTCCAAGAAAAAAAATTAAAATAATTAAAATGTCTAATCAAACCATTTGGACACTTCCAAAAGGAAATGCGTGCTTATTTTTTTGTTAGATTGAAAGAGGAACTTGGAAGGCATTCATTAAGTTAGGGATGATATAATGGTGGCGATGATGGATAGCTTTCTAACCCAACAATTAGGAGACTCAGATTCAAAGCTCCTCCCTGCCTCATTCAGGATTTACTGGGATGGGTCACCCTCAAGTTATGCTCACCTCCTGATAATAAATCTGTGTCATTTGGTGTTAATAGTTATTCACTGAAGCAAAGACTGTAACCTGTTATTTCTCAGATGAGTGGTTTAAACCTGCCTCCTAGTGATTTTGTCTAGCTCAATGAATATTTAAGTATTTTATGGAAAGTTGAACAGCCTTACCAGGAAAGACTGAGAAAATTCACCCTGGAATACCCTAGAATCTAGAGATTAGGACAAGCTCATGGGAAGTGATAGACCTCTGTTCCAACCCCTTCTCCAAATCAAGCAGAAAGGGAATTGGAATCTAGGTCTCCATCATGAAAGTGTGCCCTGGACACTGTACTGTAAGGTAAATGTGCAGCACCATAATTTTGTTAACAACATGTAAAATTACCTTGTGAATCAAT